CTTTATATTTATTTATCCAACTGAATGTTGCAACTACACCATTTAGTCATCTTCATGTAGCCAAGACTTTGGTGATCAGATATCTGGGATCAAAACAAACTGCCACCATTGCTTACTATGTACTTTTATAATGTTTCTGCAAGTTCCAAACTACATTTTGCAATGTCTATACTTTTATGTCAAATTACAAACTTAAAAAAAATCTGACATATTTACAATATACATTAAAATAAGGATGAGTGTAATGGCAAAACAAATATATAAGAAATAATTTATTTGCCATGAATTAAGTTTATGATATTTGAAGAAATGTGTGATCATGCCCCAATCAGTGAAAGTGTGTTTCCTACCCCTAGACCCCAGAGGGTTAATAATTACTGATTCTGATTGGTCAGAGGCTTAACACCTGGCTCACAGGTGAAGGAAGGCTGGAAAATCAGCAGGGCTCGGCCCTTGAGGACCGTGAGTTGAATAGCCCTGCCTTACAGTTCAGCTAATAGTCCATGTATTTTTCATTCATTTATAAATGAGGTCCTCGCTGGAATGATGAACCGGTTTGTTATTGTCAACATAGATGACATCCTTCCTCTTCTCTAGAGCAGCACATTGTATATGTCCAACTAGTGTTGCAGAGGCTTTGTGATAATTACCTGCACGTCAAAGGTGAGAAATGTGAATTTCACTTGACTTCCTTCAGGCTCCTAGGCTATTTGATTCAACCTGGGTTTCGGCTATGGACGGGATGATGGTCAAAGCGGTTTGTGAGTGGCCCCTGCCCGAACCTTTAAGAAGTTGCAGCGTTTCTGACATATTTACAATATACATTAAAATAATGATGAGTGTAATGGCAAAACAAATATATAAGAAATAATTTGCCATAAATTAAGTTTATGATATTTGAAGAAATGTATGATCATGCCCAAGTTAGTGAAAGTGTGTTCCCTACCCCTAGTCCCCAGAGGGTTAATGGCAGGACTGGGGAAACATACTTAAACGCAGACTTATATATATACGAGACTAATTAACAACAACAGGAAACAGCTGGTAACACGGGGATTCCACATGAGATAGCGAGGGGGCGTGGCACACAGGAGGATCAGACAAGCAGGGCATGACATTTCCAATGTGATGGAAGAGATGGAGATTAGAAGAGATGGTAAATTCCTGACAGTTTCATAATATATACCATAAGTAGTGTAGCACTGGCGGGGCGCATGTTCCAGCATGCCCCGCGTACAATTGTAAATAGCCCTTGTTGTATTGTTATTGTTGTCAATAATAATGGTTGCATTTCCATGTTATCACGCGTGTGTTTGCCTGTGTCTTGTGTATACCCTTGTCTGATCCTCGCATGTATTTAGCTTGCGTAAATGTTCCACTGTGCGTGCACCTTACAGTTTGGTGTCTGACAGCCTTGTGTTTCTGCTCTATGTAATTGGTGCTGAAGAGCACGGCGAACTTGATGAGCGGCGAGAGCAGGACCATGAAGACTGGGAGTAACTGCTAGAGTCCATGGATCAGGAGCTGGAGCAGCTGGGTGGTCAGTTGGCCAGCTGGGAGAAGGAGCGTGACCACCAGAAGCACCTGGCCGAGGCAGTGGAGGTGGTGCTGCATGGCCGTGAGATGGTGCTGCTCGGTTAGGAGGAGGTATGTCACAGCTTGGAGGCCCAGCTGGCTGAAAGATTCCAGGGCCCTACTAAGCAAGGTAGGAGGAAGGGGCGGAGCCAAGAGGGCACATTACCAGAAGTCTCCAGCAGCCCCTTGCGCTGGCTGTGGGAGGTGCTGGGTGTGGGGTGCCCCAGCCAGGTAGACCTCTTGGAAGCTGTATTAGGTCCCATTAATGTGCAAAAGAGGAAGGGTTGGCACCAGGGGAGGATCCAATATGGCAGCACCGGCCAGCAGCTCACCACGTCAGTGCTTAGGCAGCGGCCTGCCCTGTCACTGGAGGCGACGCACCGTCGGCTCCCAGCGGACCCCTGGTACTTGCGTCGCAACTGAGGTAGGGACTGTGGAGGGGGCAGTGTTGTACTGGCGGGGCGCATGTTCCAACATACCCCGTGGGCAATTGGAAATAGCCCTTGTTGTATTGTTATTGTTGTCAATGTTAATAGTTGCATTTCCCTATTGTTGCGTGTGTGTTTGCCCATGTCTTGTATGTACTCTTGTCCGATCCTTGCCTATACAGTATTTAGCTTGCGTAAATCTCCCACCATGTGTGCGCGTTACAGTTTGGCATCTGACAACCTTGTGTTTCCGCTCTGTGTAATTGGTTCAGTGTTCGTTGAGTGCCTGTTGTAGTCCATTTAAGGACTGCTAATAAGGAGCGTGTTTTCCCCGGCAAGCAAGTCTCCCTATCTCTCTCTGCTCCCGTGATGCCTCAGTCCACTCGGCGCCACACTGTTATTATATCAGTAGCAGCAATTGATCTGACATGTTGTTATGCTGAGTGTGAATGCATAGCACTTATAAATAAAACGATTGTTCCTATTCCTCGTGTTTCAGGCAATCTTTTGGAATGTGTTTATTGCATATATTGCAATGACAATGAAAATACAATTTATCCATCAGCACTAAAGAATAGCTGTTATAAGGGTGTGCCCATACTCTATGCTAAGGAGAATTCAAGTGATGCACATTACCAATCTGTACTACTCTGTAAAGGACCGAGATGGAAGGCACAAAGAACACCTGTGGATTGGGAAAAAAATCCTTTGTTTTTCTTTTTAAAAAAGAAGACAATTTAACAAAAGAATAAATGTTGACCCATAAAAGAGGTTAACGTATCAAAACACAACTAAGCATATAACATAAACCAAGCAAACTGAACTAACAAGACAAGACACCATAAGGGCCATATCTGCAGTACACTGGTTGGCCAGACCACAGGACACAAAAGTGGTTACCATAACAACAAATGCCACCAATAATCAAAACAAGACAGTCAGGTTTAAATCAAATGAAAGCAAAATCAAATCAAATTAAATTAAATACAAAAATATATCTAAACAATTAATAAAAAAAAAACTTATAATACAAACAACTCCACCCCCTCAACAAAACAGCCTCTTGGAACAGTCCAATTTGACTTCCTGTATTTAGTCAGGCAAGATGTTGAATTGTTAGTCAGTTATGAGTGATATGGTCCGATTCAATTAATTGATGCACTAATAGGGATGACAGGACAGCACCGATAATTCTCAAACTCAAAGTACACTGTAGCCAAAACTCAAACCCACATTTCATGAGTTTTATTCATTTTTCATTTATTTGAACGTAAACACATATGATGTCAATTGCTTTCATTTACCGTTAAAGCTGTATTTAGAAAATGAAGTTGTGTGACAGACTTTATGTAGACAGCTATTGTGTGTATAACAAAAAGAAACTGTCAATTGTCAGTCTCAGTTGGGAAGCACACCAGCCTTGCTGCGCTTATGGGGTCTGCAGTTTCATGTCTGAGCATGAACATCAAACTCTGGATGTATCTGTGGTTAGTGACATCACTAACAGAACCATGAGGCCACAGAGCAGGAGGAGAACAAGAGCTTTAGAAAAACAAGTAACTGACAAGCCTGCTTTACCTTCTGTGGTATAAAGCATAATTTGTCCAAAGTGTATATTAACCCATACTATAGATTACACTAAGAGATTTTGTGCACTTACAATGACACGTATGTCATATTTAAGAATTATATCTGCAATGCTCTAATTGAGCATTTATATTTTTACATATGGATATTTTGAGTAGCTCTGTGGTGTGACCTCCCACAACATGCAATGGTCAGCAAGGACAAAAGGGCAACACACACAGACAGTTTCCAGATCCTTTATTCATAATGTATGGGATGGAGAGCAGACAAAGTGCATTGAATGCAAGATATGGGACAGCTAAACTGAACTGTATACGGAACATGATAAAATAATTACCGTAACTATAATTATTTTGGAAGGGCAGAAGTTGAACTAACATTAGATGATCTGTAGTGAAGTAAATTGCAATATATATAAAGCAAAAAAAGTAGTTCAAAATAAAAAAATGATCAAAAACCCATCTAAGAGTGATTTAAACAGCAAGGATGAAAATTATTATGGTTGAACGGAGAGCACATGCAGAGCTCATAGAAAAGCAGTGGCAGTAAACTTTAAACTGATTCTTTTTAATATGTACGAGATTACATTGAAAAGAAATAATCATTAACCTCCTTAGTCCCGGGCTTTTGTTTGGAGTGCATGTTTTATTTCCATTAGCTATTTGGGATTTGCTAAGTTTTGTATCCTATAAAAGAGTAAAAATGTCTTAGAAAATCTTAAGCCTTTCTGCTCAGTGGATCTTATTACCAAGATTTCCAAATATCTGAATATCTGAGACAGATAAACATGGTTTGAGTGCCAAGTTTCAATGGGTGTCTGGCTCCCTGTATATCCCCCCCAGTATATCACTGACCTTCTGCAACATCATTCCTGCGGCTGTACTTTGAGATCTACTCAGTCGCATTTGCTTTCAGTTCCTAGGGCCAAATTAAAGAATCGTGGTGATCGTGCATTTCAGTCTGTAGCCCCAAGTTTATGGAACAGTCTCCCAGCGTCACTTAGGTCCGCTCCATCAAGTGAATTATTTAAGAAGTAACTCGAAACACATTTGTTTATTGTAGCCTTATTTTTTAACTTATGTTGTTCGGATATTTGTGTATTTTGTATGTGCCATTATTATAATGGACTTCAAGGGACGTGGCAAAACAGTCCGTTATATCCAGAGTTGCTGTATTCCCAGAACACAACTACAGGACACCATGCATTTACTCATGCCACACTTGTGGTATAGATTATTATATTGTACATGTAGTAATCCAACTTTACCTGACCAGATGCGTGACTATTAATAATCCCGACTACGTACGTATCTGCGCTGGATATCACCGGCACGCTACACACCTTGTAGGCGGAACTGCATGTCCGTTATAACCGAACAAAACTACAGCCAAAAGCGGCCCTGGGGACCAAATTGTTTGTCCATCATAAGTGAAATTCCATTATATGAGAGTCCGTTATATCCGATGCTTTTTCTGCAAGTTTGTAAAGGCGCACAGCCAGGACCAGTGGACCTCATCAGTTATAGACATTATTCTGTTATAAGCGAGTCCACTATAACTGGATTTTACTGTATATATGTATATGCATACATTTCTGTATGTGTGTACATGTATGTGCGTATATGTTTTTTTCTTTTGCCTGCTATATCCTTATCCTTAGCAACGTTATTCCAGAATTTTGAAATTGTGGCGATAAGATTTGTGGAGCGGCTGCGGGGAGGATCCCAATGTACAGCTTCACCGAAAGTAAATACTGTACCACCAAAGCCTACATTAAGTAGTAGTTAAAATAACACATATGTTTTCAGTTCCTGAACATGAAAATATTCAAGTACAAACGAGTAAGGCAAATGGGTAGTAAGTCCATGCATTATAGATTTTTTAAATGCTCTCTCCAGAGGCAACCAATGCAACCCTGCATTTAAAAACATATAATGCATGCCCTCTCATGCACTAACCCTTATTTTGCATTTCCAGTACATGGATCAGGTCCTCTTTAAGATACTCAGTAAACATTTTTAAACTACTTTCTCCTCGTTCAGTCATTTCTGCATTAAAATAATTATATAAGTCATGTAGGTCTTTGAAGAAAAACATCAATATTGTACTGTTTTTATAGTTTACCATAATGTAAATCATCCATTAACCATTATCTATTTTTGGTGTTTTTAAGTAAGAGAGTGAGAGAGGAACACATAGAGAAAGAAATAATATCAAAAATGGTACTAAAAATAAGGAAAAAAAAGTAAAGATTAGGGCAATGTTAAAAGATCCCACAAACCCTATTCTAGCCAATAACCTACAGTACATATAAAGGAGTACATGTACAAGATTGTACTACAACAATATTATCAAAGTATAAATTATCTGCACTGCTTTACCACCCTGACTTCACTGTAAACAATGTCTTCATTAACTGGTCTTGGTGAGACACTGGAATCTTCTGAACTGGAATCTGAAAAACAGAATCAGAGGCTCAAACTGTAACATATATACACTGCATTCAATTCCCAAACCCCCTTTCAGCAGCACCCCTGCCATTCCATGTATTGGTTAAATTTCACCACCAGCCCACTTAATTAATTATTTTATTAAATAATTTAATGAGGTATTAATTAGCCAAATGTGGTATTGTAGCGGTTGATTCAACAAATACATATTGGATAGTTCCTGCAATACTGGGGTAACATTAGAAGAGGATGTGAAATCATGAAGATGACACATTTTGAAAAGTCATAAAACACTGCAGCGCTGAGGTACCGGCGGGCAACACAGCAGGTTGGATGGGTGCCAGCCTTGTAAATAGTTCTCTGTAGTAATTGTGCTGTACTGTAATGTCAAGTGTAATGTTAAATGTTAAAAACCTGCCGCGCTGCCCGCCAGTACCTCAACACTAGAGCTGGCCCTCCGCATCCGTGGGGGTTTGGACCCCCCTGGTTACCAAAATCCACAGATGCTCGACTCCCTTATGATAAATGCTGTGGTATTTGCATATAACCTACACAGACCCTCCCGTAAACTTTAAATCATCGCTAAGTTATTTATGTGTAATAGGCCTACCTAAAATAACACAAATAACAAGGGAAAATGCGGCAGCCAAATAAATGTAATGTAAAAACAATTTCTTCATTTTTTTTGCCCTTACTCAAAATACTCGGGTTCATATACCGAATTTTAACCAGCTTCCTTCATTATCAGCACGATAAAGCAGTGCAGGAAAACAAGAGAGAAGCCATGTTACTTTTCCGCTGTGCTCACTTCTGACTTAAAACTGAATTTTCCACATAATGTTCATCACACGGCAAATCCAGCTTGGGTTTTTGGATTTCTCTGGATGTTTCTTTTCCCAAATATTTTCAATCAGTGGTTGGTTGAAGATGCAGATACGGAGAGCCGACCGTTATATAAGAAAACCATCCATCCTTTTTATGAACTTCACACACACAGCCATAGTGGAGACTGGAATCCTGGTCCAGAAGTGTGAAGCAACAGTGCTAACTTCTGTGTCACCATGCCGACCCAACAAAATATCATTTAAACACAGTGTTTTTTTTTTTACTACCAAACTATTTTGCACAGTACTCAATTTATTGCTGAAGAATTTCGTATGCATGTATACATACAATCTTAATAACATAAAATGCATTACTTACTTAAGATGTGTTTTTTGTGCCTTCTTAGAATGAAGAATGAAATCCCAGCCACAATCAGGCACAGCAGCAAGACAGAGACGCCGATCAGGGTATCGACACACCAGCTTTTTCCTGTGTGCCGTGAGATTCGGTTATTTTCTTACAGACATAAAACCAAAAGTGATTAGCTTTCAACAAGGTTTTTCAGAAAATCTTTTTATGATCTAATTATGATTAGATGTCTAATAATGCATGGTGTATATTTTTTCATAATTAAACTGTATTTGTAAAATACTTTATTAAAAGTATATCAGGTACATAATTTTACTTACTGGTGCAGTAAAAGGAGAGAGGTTTGCTCTGTGCACTGCAGCTCTTCGTTTCCACAGTGCAGTGGACGCTTCCTGAAAGCACCTCCACAGAAATGTGTTTACTGCTGTTACTGAATACCTTCTCCTCACCCAGGACATCATCTCTGACAGTCCATGTGTACAGAGTATCATCCCCATTGTCATCAGCACAGTAAAACTCAGATGTGCCATGAGCACAAGTGAGGAATTCAACCACAGGGTGACCTAAAAATAACAGATGAACAAAAAGGATAGATACTGTCCTAAAGATATTTTTAAGCTACAATTAGAAATCTCTAATATAATGAGCACATCAGTTTCAAATTGGTAACTTGAAGTTTTAAACATACCCAGCACCACTAAATGATGTGTCTCTGTCAGCAGATGCCTCCCATCCGAATCATAGCCGTATGCAGTAATGTCACCACTCCAGTTCTTATGGATGTTGCTAATTTTAAGTGTCCAGTTTTGGAAAACTTCAATTGAGGGTGTAGATTTATTTTCAAATTTGTTGTTGTTTTCATGTTTCCATCTTATATCCCCGGGTTTTCGGCTCGTGTTCTGTATGTGCAGATAAACAGTTCCTCCCGTGCTGCAGCATTTCAGGTTCGCGCTGGTCTCGCCTTTGAAGAAACAAACACACTATGTTTAGCCAGCAACATTGAAATATGTTTGAAGGTTCACTTACATGTTTAAATATCCATCCATCCTTCCACTTGTCCTGTACAGGATCGCGGGGGTCTGGAACCCATCCTGGAAGCTATGAGTGCATGGCAGAGAATAACCCAGGATGGGGGCACAGAGCATTGCAGGTGTTTAAATGTGAAACTTTAAATACTTTGTTACTGAATTTTCACATAATTTTGCATTTTTGTATAAAAACATACATTGTACAAGTTCATGTCACATTATTGTCAGTTGTCTATTTTCTTTCACATGTATTTCACAAAGACAGTTTGTGAGAGTTCAAATCTTGAACAGTGCTCAGTAAAATTACTTATTTCAAACAATAAACTGAGATAGTTTTTTTTGTAAATCATCAAGTCTGATTATTCTAATGTAGCCAGCAACAGGAAACTATGTTTCTCTTAGAAAAGTTATCAGAAACATTACCTGAAAGAAAAGACAAAATAACCCAGGAGAGTAAATGTGCTTGAATGTCCATATCGATGCTCGTACTGAGCAGGAGTTCAGAGAAATGTAGCACCACAGATTAAAGCTGGCATGTGACCGGATGCTGAAGATAGCGCCTTTTCCATTACTGTAAACAAGTATGACAACTATACTGAAATCCATCCAGGAAATGCACACAACAGATGAATACAGGTTCTGTCTCACCTGTCTCACACGTGTGGGTTTAGTCCAGAAGACTGCTTTCTGAGGCATATGCAACTACTTTGATATGGCTGTGGCATAACTGAGATGTAGTGGTCAGCTGTAGTGAGGTGTGCATGTGTAGGAAGTGCATGGTGTGACTCCTTCCCCATCTGCATTTATAGAACCATGTTACCTTAATATTAAATAAAATACAAAAAAAAAAAAAAATCATAAAGCTATTAAAAAACTTCTTTGGTTTCCTACACTGATGAATATGGCTCAGGGCTGCGTAAAAGGAGGGATAACCTCCAGAACAGTGTGGTAGACAAACACGAATATGGAAATTCACTGGGCAATGGACAATCAAACAAACAAATGCAAAGGCATAGGAACAAGGGTGACCCCAGAGGTGTGGGGGAAGTCATATTCATGTAGTTCAAAACCAGTTAACAAGCAAAAAAAAAACAGCTCTGGGACCCTGAGGGTGGGCAAGAATACAAAAGGTGAATTAAACAAAAGAGAGAATACACCTAAGTGACACTGAACAGAGTAGACTAGAGAGCATGACTCACAGCTCTGTTTATAAAGCCTCTCAAAATGATTAAAAATGGTACTTTCATTTTAGGGTACAGCCTCTGGGACTGTCCTCCTCAGGGCTGAGCAAGACGTACGTGCCTATAGTGATCTGACTGTGGGAGCGACAGATGACTTCGCTAGTGATGAGTCTAAACTTGTGGTTTCTTTGTTGAAAAAGAATTAATGAACAATTCAGACATCTTATGTAGTAGTATTGGGATCATTCCAAATGCTTTGTCTAATACAGGTTTCAGTACTTTTGGAAGGTTCTGAAATTAAGCGGCACAATGAAAAAGAATAAATAAAATGTAAAAAAAAAGGGTAACTAACAAAGCTTTGAAATTTTCTTTTTACATTGTACTGATATTTTGTATCATTTTAATCTGAAATACATCAGTCATGCTTTCTACGGCAGAAGGTGAAACAGGTTTGTCAGTCACTTTTCTAATTTTTCTAATGATTTTCTTCTGCAGCCTCAAGTGACCACACATACATCCAAAGTCTAATTAAAGGTTTCAGGTATGAGCCAGTCAAATGACTTAAAGATTGTGGGTCACCAGAGTAACAAATGACACACAGGAAGAGAAACAGTGAGCAAATGGTGCAGATGCAGCCAAGCAGACAGGTCTTTTACAAATAAAAAGCCACTTGCATAATTATATGGGAATACATAAATATATGCAAATGCAATGGTTAGGGAAGATTTCAGGCTTCAATAAAACAATGTTCATGTTCAGAGACAAAGTTGCAGACCCTACAGTCCCTATTAGCCCTTAAAGGCTTGAGCGCTACTCAACTGACACTTGATTTCTCTTCCTTTTTGCTATATATACACACACATACATGTCTGTCACAGTACTTCAGTTTCTAAAAAAACGGCTGTTTTTTTTTTATGTATTACGGAGGCAGGAGCAGGAATTAGGGCTAACAAAATGGAGTTTGTTTAGAACTGACTGACAGGGCAGACAAAAGGTAGATCAAGTGGGGGCTGAGCTAGGGGGTCCTCGGGACCCCAGGAAGTGGCCCCCACAAGGCTGGCAGGACCAGGCAGAATCAAGGGGTTGGTTGGGCTGGGGCCGAGAGGTGCTATGGGAGCTGTCAGGACTGCAGGGCAAGGGGGCAGCACCGTGAGGGTGAAGGGGAAAGGGTGAATGGAATAGGGAAGGTGCAGGAACAGGAACCAGAGGGGCCAGCTGGGCAGGAGAGGAGGGCCCTGGGGGGCTGGAGTGGTGGCCACAGGTGGTGTGTCCCCATCTTCCTCTCTGGGAGAGTCCCGTCAATACTATAGGCCACCTTGGGACAGAGGACATGGGTGGTTCGAGTTTGGGGTAGGAACTGGGGTCTATAGTGCGGGACTTTTAGCAAAGCAAAGTACAGTCTGGGCACAGGGCAGCAAGTGGAGCTCGATGGGCACTTCCAGGAACAAGCAGAGCTGAGCAATTGCAAGAAGGTGGCGGCCTTACTGGGGTCAGGAGTTTGTGGAGCTGCAGAGGCCTCACCAGGGCAGAACGTCAGCTCCACCCTCACCCTTAGTCTTCACTAACAGAGGGCTTCAGAGAGCCAATGGGCAGATCAGCAGCTGGTTCTGGAGAAAAGGCGGAGCTAGGATACCTTGGAAGATGAGCTCAGCGGGTACCTCAGCACTAGGACAGGGGACCTTGAGTGCTTCGGGAGGCAAGAGACACATGGGTACCTCAGGAAGTGGGGCAGAAGAGGCCTCATCGGTGTTGGGCACTAAAGCAGTCTACTTTTTACACCTCCATTCTTGGAGGCTGGGGCTTACAGAGCATGAAGGTGTGTCAGCCAAAGCATCAGGAATGAGCAGCAGGGCTTCCTCCCATTCTTCAGCATCAAGCAGGTAACTCTCCACCAGCTCCATCTACTTGGTCTCTGCTTCATGATCCTGCTCCAGTAGACATTCCTCCAGCTGCTTGAGGGCATCCTCCAGTACCAGGTCAGTCCTGCCAAATTCTTCAGTGCAGGTCCTGATACCAACCCCAAAGAGCAACCCAGGCAGGACTGGAAACCATTACCCCAAGCACAGCTGTGGGATTTGGGGAAATGGGCATTGCCACCATAGGAGGACCCGTAAAGCATGCACTCTGGTGGGGCTATTCAAAGGCATGCCGTCTCCTTGGGTTCCTCCTCCTTTAGTTCTTCCAGGTTGCTGTCAGGATGCCCCCAAGGACCACATGAGTCGCCCGCGGACCTGTTCTAAAAATAACTCACCAGTGAGCAGCATTTCAAATTAAATTTTGTCCTGTTGCTATTCTTCTTTAATCACATTTGCATTTATATAGATTTGAAAATGACAATATCTAAAAAAAAGCCATTTAAAACATGTTTATTATACATGAAGTTTAGATAAGTTTAGGAGGGTGTTTCAAACTGGTATCCCTTCGTATGGCTCAGTACCCGTGAAGCAGCTCTCAGTTTCAAAAAGGTTGTGGACACATGATCTATACCTGAGTTTCTCAACCTGGTCCCCGAGGACTGGGTTGAGAAACCTTGATCTATACTATATACAGGGATATACAAAATATATATCTGCTAAGTACATATATTGCACTATAGAATAACATTGAACATGGAATTTACAGAACGATGGGATGGCATAGAAGTATGAAGTGCATAACATAATATAATGTAATATAATATAATATAATATGGCCCACAGTGTTATGCATTGGGGGGAAAGAGTGAAGGGTTGATGATGTCACTCCATCACCGTCACTCTCTCGCATCATGAGTATTGTCCTGGTTCAGACACCAAACAGCTTGAGGGAAGAAGCTTCTCCTCATTCTCTCTGTGTTGGAACGAATTCGCTTCCCTGACCTCAGCAGGGAGAACAATCCATTGTTGGGGTGGCTGGGGTCTTTCATGATCTTCCTGGCTTTGGTTTGGTACCGTTTGATGTAGACAGACTGCAGGTCAGGGAGCTCGGTGTTAATGATGCACGCGGCTGATCACACCACTCTCTGGAGAGCGCGCCTGTCCTGCCTTGTGCTGTTCCCAAAACAGGTGGAGATGTTTCCCGTCAGGAGACTTTCAATGGTGCGGGAGTAGAAATTCCTTAGGTCCCTCTGAGGCAGGCGGAAATCCCTGAGGCAAAGCAAATACCAGTGAAGGGTACAGTAGGGCACACACTGAGCCAACACTAATGACTGGACTAGGGAGCACAGGACTGAAAAGCACTCTTATACTGTATGTGACTAACGAGGCAGCAGAAGAGAGGTAGCTGGAATGATCCACATGAGGGCTGAAATGAGAGGCAAGACAAATGAGCAACAGGTGTTGCTTGTAAGAACCACACTAGAGAGAAAACAAGGAGGCAGGAATGCAGGGCATGACAAGTGTACATAAAACTGGAGCGAGTGGACAACACAGCAGTGCTGTACAAGAAAAGCCAAAGCAGACTGTACCTTCAGGAGGCTCGGGACTTTTGATGTGTGCAGCAAGCTCCTACAGATGATTTACAAGCCCACAGTGGCCAGCACACTCATCTCTGCTGTGGTTTGCTGGGGATGCAGCATTAGGAAGGTCAGTGCCATCATAGGACTAGACCTACTGCAGGTACATGTGGAAGAGAGGATGGTGGGAAATCATAATTCTGCACATCACCACCACAGGTGGTTCGTCAACATTAGCCACTAACTCATGCAGAATGTTTCCTTCCTGATGCTCCGCCCTCTGTTAATCATGCAGAAAAGTGTCTCCTAGTCCTGTGCTCCCTGTTCAGTCATTGTTCTCTGTCTGCATGAGCTGTCCTGCCTGCTTTCCTCAATAAATTCCCCTGCCAGAGGTTGCAGTAGCTCTCAGCCGGCATTAATGTCGTCCTTCTCAATAGAGGAGCGGGACCTAATGTTGGATGGGAGGCTATTCCAAAGTCTGGAGGTAGCTATCGAGTAAACCTGGTAGACGAGGGGGTCTAGTAGTAGTAGTAGTAGTAGTAGTAGTAGTAGTAGTAGTAGTGCTTTATTGCACATAAAACACAACAGGACAGTAGCACACTTGACAGTGAGGATAATTGGGGGGGGAGGGTATAATACCTGAACATATATCTCTAAATATACTTATACACATACCTAAAAAACAAGACCATCTAAATAGGACTATCTAAATAGGACTATCTAAATAGGACTATCTAAAAGAACTTTAAAGAGGGGGAGCACATCAGGGAGGCTGTGACAATACAATATATGTTATACAGCAATAGGCTATAGAATATGAGAAACAGTGCAAATATGCTGGCAATGTAGATATGTGTACTG